CGAAGATGTATGAGGCTGCTGTAGGTATAACACAGCATGCTGTTTTACAGCAAACTTTTAAAATATATTTTTATTTATTTCAGAGAGGAGGGGAAAGAGAGAGAGAGAGAGAGAGAGAGAGAGAGAGAAACATCAATGAAGTGAGAGAGTCACTGATCAGCTGCCTCCTGCACACCTCCTACTGGGGGTTGAGCCTGCAACCCGGCATGTGCCCTTGACCGAAATTGAACCCGGAACCCTCAGTCCACAGGCCCACGCTCTATCCACTGAGAAAAACCAGCTAAGGGTACAGCAAACTTTTTAAAGTTGAAAGTGTGCACTCTAAATTAATGATTTTTAAAAGTGTAGTGTAGTAAATGTATAAATCAGTAATTTGGTCATTTATAACCATCATTAAGTATTAAGTTCTGAACATAATTATACGTGCTATATTTTTATACAACTGGCAGTGCAGGCTTGTTTACACCAACATCACCACAAACATGTGAGCAATGGGTTGAGCTATGACCTTACCACGGCTACGGCATCACTAGGCAATAGGATTTCCCAGCTCCATTATAATCCTGTGGGACCACCGCTGTATATGTGGTCTATTGTTGACCTAGAAATGGTTCATCACTGCATATCTGTACAGCGTACAGTGTTCAGGGGTCATGGGCTCAGGAAGATTCAAGAATGCACTCCTACAGGCCAAATTAAGACGGACCCAAAGGTGCTAAAGGCTCAGAAAGTGCAATGCAATGACACAGAAATGCTGGTGCATGAAAGTTGCCAAATAGGGCAAACTGAGGCTGGTACAAAAAGGCCAGGCAGCCCTGGCCGATGTGGCGCCGTTGGTTGGAGCGTGGTCTGGCACATCAAAAGGTCTCGGGTTCCATTTCTGATCAGGGCACATACTCAGGCTGTGGGTTCTATCCCTGATCAGGGCTCATATGGGAGGCAACTTATCGATGTTTTTCTCTCACATTCATGTTTCTTTCTCTCTCTCTCTCTCTCTCTCTCTCTCTCTCTCTCTCTCTCATCAATAAAAACGTATCCCCGGGTGAAGATTAAAAAAAAAAAAATTTCAGGCCCAGCAGTGTGTCCCCAGGAGGGGAAGGGCAGGAGGGAGCCCATGGATGGTATCTTTCATAGATGTCTCTATCTCTCTCCCTCTCCCTTCCTCTCTCTCTAAAACCAATTACAAATAATAATAAAAATAAAGGCCAAGTGTAAGATACAGCAGTGCTAGGGCTGAGAGGTGGGATGACCTTGGATTGGGGAATCTGGGGAAGGAGCAGTCACAGACGCCCTGCCCCGCCCTCCCGCCCCCCACCCAAGGGCGCAGGCATTGAAGATCGAGGGCACAGTGACCACAAGAATCGCAGCGCTGCTGTTGCTACTCCTCCTGCTGCTGGCGCTAGGCCGGCGAGGTTGAAGTGCGAGCACTGACACAGAGCCTACCCCCTCCCCACCCCCACCCCACGCTTCTTCCCCTGCTGGGGAGCTTGCAGCAGCTGCAGCCCGGACAGACCTTGCCTCTAGAGGCAGTCCTGACAGTGGGTGCTGGTACAGAATTCCGGATTCCTGGAGGTGGGGCTGGGAGCTGGAACTCCTGGTTCTCTGAATGAAGACAGCTGAGGGCTCAATGAAAGGTTGCGGCGTTCAGAGAAAGGACATTGGGTGGGGCGGGAAGCTGGAGCCTGGACTGCTGGTAGTCTGGGAAGAGGAGCGGGGTGGGGTGGGGGAGTCAGATCTCGAGGGAAGAGGGACCGTGGGCCTGAGCTCCAGGTTAAAGGCGGAGTTGCACTACCCTATCCCCAACCCCATTCCTGGGCCCTGAGGGGGGAGCCTGAGCAATCGGTGGGGAGAGGGGAGCAGAGGTTCTCCTGGTTCAGGGCTGGGGGGTGGGGGTGGGTGAATACTGAGGGCCCAGATGCCTAGTTCTGTGGGTGCAGGGGCTGGGGAACTGGACTCCTAGATCCTGAGGGAAGGAGAAAGAGGGAGCCTGGACTCCTGGGCCTGAGGGAAGAAGCTGGCGATGTGAACTCCTGAGCCTGGAATGAGAGGCTGGGACGGGAACTCCAGGGTCTGGAGGAGGAGCTGTGGGCCGGCTCTGGGGTCTGGGGGTGGCGGCGGGAGGAGCTCCCAAGGACCCGCTGAGCACCGCTCGGAGTAGCTCTGGCCTCAGGCGGGTTCACAGTGCGGCGGGGCCCGCGCCCGCAGTGGTGCTGTGCGGCCACGCAGCGCCGGGGGGCGCATTCGAGCTGCCGGCGGGTACCTTCTGTGGCCACAGGGCCATTGCAGTCTTTATTTTTTGTGTTAATCCTCAAGCGAGGCTATATTTCCACTGACTTTTACAGTGGAAGGGAGGGGAGAGAAAGAAACAGACACATCTGTCGGCGGCCTCCCACAGGAGCCCCACCAGGGCCGGATGGAGCCTGCAACTGAGGCCCGTGCCCGATTCCGGACCCTTCAGTCCGCAGGCCGATGCTCTATCCACTGAGCCAAACGGGCTAGGGCCACAGCAATCATTAAACGCTTCCCAGAAAGTGAGGCTGGGAGGCGGAAGAGCAGGCCAGGGCATCGGGTCAGGGTGATAAAGGGGAGGGGGGAGCGAGAGGGGGCGGGGCCTAGCAGAGAATCCATGTTCAGGAGCGCAAATGGCGAGGTGGGGCGGAGCTAAAGTGTAGGGTCCAGTTGGGGGCTGGTTCCTCCCGCAGCAATAGAAGAGCCAGAGAGCAAACATTGGTCAGGGATGGGGACCAGCAGAGGTGAGGCCAATGTAGCGAGAGGGCGGGGAAGGCTGGGATGGCAGCCAAGCGGTCTGGAAAAGCAGCTGAGCCACGGGATACCAGGGAGTCGGCCTCTGGCTGGAGAAGGGCCAGGGCCAGCTCCCAGACGCCCCCTTCTGCCCCACCCCCAGGCATCAGGTTTCCTTTCTTTTTAAATATATTTTCATTGATATCAGAGAGAAAAGGAGAGGGAGATAGAAACATCAATCGGCTGTCTCCTGCATGCCCCATACTGGGGGATAGAGCCAGCAACCCGGGCATATGCCCCAACTGGGAATAGAACCAGTGACCTCTTGGTTCATGGGTTCACGCTCAACCACTGAGCCACACCTGCCAGGCTAGGCATTGTGTTTTCTATGGGGCTGCCCTGGAGGACGCTGAGCAAATTTGCACTCGAGGGCTTAAACGGGTTGGGTACCCCTACAATGGAGGACTGTCCTGGAGGTGGCTTGTTTGCTTGGCGAATTTGAGCCACCATTGCTGCAGCCTGTTCAGAGAGGAGAGGGGCTGGTGTAGGTGTAGCCAATGGTCGGAAGAGGCCGCTGAGTGGAAAAAAGCCAGTAAGTCCAAGAGCTAGCTGGAGGCAGCTTTATAATCTGGTTGTGTTCTCACTACCAGGAGCCCTGATAGAACCTGGCGGCTACTAGGTAATGCCCGGGTATCTAATGTTATGTTTCCTGGTCTTGGGAACCACTATGGCTACAAAGACCCAGAGTTTCTGAGGCTTCTGGACTTCAATGACAACTTTCACATCACGAGTTCCAGATGGGCGAGAGCCCAACCTATGCCAAATGCTGAGTACATAAAACTACCTAGAGTGGATCATTAGAATAGGACTCAGAATCTTGGAATAGAAGTTATAGAATTTATGACATCAAGGTCCAATCTCCCCGTAGGGAAATTGTCTTGCTTGTCCTATTGAGATCCTGTCCCCTGAGGTGTACATTTTACCCTCCCTCCTGGACGGGCTCCCTGGCCTACACCACCGAAACTTCAAGGAGCTTCATGATTTCATGGATTGCTTCCTAGATCAAATGGATAAGGTGCAGGTCCCTGCTATCCTAAACTCCATCCATGCCACCCACAAGGAGGCACCTGGCACTCAGCAGCAGCCCTCTCCTCTGTTCGCAGGAACAGACTCAGAGTTACTTCCAGGAGGAAACTTTGGTGGTGACCATACATAACCTTTTCTTCAGCAGCAGAGAGACCACAAGCACCACCCTGACCTATTGGCTTCTCCCCCTTCTCAAGTTCCCAGAGGTGGCATATATGGCAGCAGGAAAGCCCAAGTTGAGAGGGTTAGGGTTTAGGGATGGCTAGGGATGGATGGGGAGTGGGTATGTGTGTGTGTGTCTCACACACTTCATTGGACCCAGCCCACATGCAGGTGAAGGTGGACACCATGGTAGGTCTGGCACGCTTCCCAAGTCTGCCCCACACGAACACATTGTGGCAGAAGAGCCAGGACTAACGTTGGGACTGTCATGTGCCTTACCTGCAATGCCCACCTGCACGGCCACTTTCTGCCCAAGCTGTTCACCGAGCTTGGGGATTGTGCACAGGGCTGAGGAGCTCCTGTTAACTGAGATTAGCAGACATGAGCATATGTGCAGTCCTGGGAGCAAGAAATAAAGCTCCCCTTCCCAGTGGCTTCTACATGAAAGGCAATGAAAGGCAATCTTGCCAAGTTCATGGGCACTTGCACATTCCCTTTAGGGCACCTTCATGATTTCTCTGCTTGTGTGTCTGCACATGGGACCCTCTCCAATTCAAGAATCCATACTGTTTCAACTCCACCAACTTTCTGGATAAGGGCCAGTTTCTTCATGACCTTTGCCCCAGTTATGGGCCACACAAAAAGGGGGCCAGCTTGGGCAGACCCTGGGATACATGGGGTGCTTACCCTTAATCTGTGTCCCCAGGAAAGTGGATGTACTAGGTGCAGGCCTGGCCTGGTCAGAAATCCTCCTCTTCTTCACCACCATTCTGCAGTGGCTCTGTCTGCTCCTCGTGGGGAGCCCCACCAACAAGGACCTCACCCTGCAGTGCACCAGGCCTTGGTAATGGCCCCTTCACTTCCCAGTTCTACCTGGTGGCCCCCTGAGGTCCGACTCGGCCACCCTCTGCTCACTGACTCTCAGACCTTCTTACCCCCTTTGTTTAACAAAGGCCATGAATTGCAGATGGAGGCATGTCCTTGCCAAGAGGAAGAGGGGGAGTCAGATATGTGCAGCTCTGAGGTAAACTTTTATTTCTTGGCTGACAGGACTTTCACACCCATACTCCTCCCAGCACCTTTTACCTGCCCAAGCAGCGGCAGCCTAGTCCAAAGGGTGCCATGGCCAAGAGGGTTGGGAGTCATTTCACATTCTAAGCTGGAGGAGTGCGGGGGCTTGCAGGTACTCCCCCTACAAACCTTTGCCAGCAAGAGGCCATGACTCACCTCAATCCCAAATTCTGCATCCTGGTGGGAGATGATAATGCCCCCTTCCAGCTCTCCACACCTGAGAGGGGCACGACTAGACAGGGCAAGACACAGGCCCCCAGCTCCAGTAAAGGTAGCCCCCCGGTACTGGCCCCTGCCCAGGCCACAACCCCAGCTCCCATCACAGGGCAGCACAGGTCTCTCCCCTCCTTGGTCCTCAGCAACTAAGGGAACCCTCCACACCAGGCAGGACATAGGCAAAGTCGGAAGCAGCAGCGGTGGCGGGGTAGGAGCAGGCCCCGAGACTGGTAGGCCGCTGGCCAGGCAGCACCAGCCCAGGGCTCTCCTGAAATCAAGGCAAGTTGTCTGTCCATGCAGCTCTGGGGTTGGCCACTAGGTGGGCGTAGTCGGCTGAGATACAGGTACTTGAACACCTTTCTGTCCCGATGCTGGTGGGAGGGAGGGGGACAGGAGATAATGAGTCAGCAGGGACAGGACTAAGAGGCTATGAAAAAGCTGGGAAGGGGAGGAAAGGACCAGAAGAGATGGGGCTCATGCTGGGGTAACCAGGAGAGTGGCTGACTAGGAAAGGTGGGCAGAGGTAAGGAAAAACGCAGCGGAACTTAGTAAAAAACTGAAGTGGATGAGATGGCTAGAGCCCTGGTGAAGTTGTGGAATAGGAAGGACTTGAGGGAAGGGACACCATTTGGGAAGCAGGTACCTAGCTGATACTTGTCTTTGGCTGCAGCTCGCTCCTTGGCATCAAAATACCAGACAGTGATGGCGTACCTGAGGACCAGAGCAGTGTCGGAAGGCAGTTAGAGATCACTTTTCTTCAGTTCCAGCCACCCTGAGCCTGCACATGGGACCCTATCCAATCCCATGACACTAGAGCCTACCCTGAGCCTGGTTCTGTTCCCACCTAGGTCCCCTCTCAGTACTTCATCATGTCCTAGTCATTCGGGGGGAATTCCTGAGCATATCCCAGAAGTATGGGTCATACCTGGTGGCATAGGCTGGTTTCACCTCGTGGGGGTTCCGCCGGTCAGACCAGAAAATAAGCAGCCGGTCAAAGAGTGGCTCAATGTTGGCTACCACAGGCCGGCCCTCAGGGAAGATCTGCAGCAGGCCGCCATGCACCTGAGGGCAGACCAGAGGTTGAAGCAGGAGGCTGGCACTTACTGTCCCCAGGAGCCCACCAGGGGCATAGCAGCTGCACACAGCACTCCCTCCCACCATTCAGCCTCTTAAAAATGAATGCCAACCTAGAATCTGCATCACCATGGAGATGGGCAGGAAACTACTAAAGAAGACAGGAAATAGAGGGGAGGATTCATTATGCCAGGGCCTGGGCGGACTGCACCATTCCTCGAAGGAGGGGCCTTTGCTACCACACAGCTGGAAAGGAGGTGCCATTCTCCAGGAGGAGCCAGGGGCCAGATTGCCCCACCCCCAGGTGGGTAGAGAAGAGGAACCAGAGAAGGTTAGAAGCTGAGCTGGAAGTGGAAACCCAAATGGATGCACACCATACCCCCCCCATCCCCACCACCACACCCTACCTTGATGTCCCAGTTCTGATTCAGGTAATAGATACATGTGATGCAGCGCCCATCACCGTGGGGATTGTCAACGTGCCTCACGTACCCCAGCCCATTGCCTGGATAACACGCCACCATGGCCTGGCAGAGACAGATTGAAGTAGTTTACTGGGGCTAAGCAGAGACATTTGGGGAAGCAGCCATTACCTCCTCTTTCTCAACTCTCCCTGCTCCTCATCTTTGACTCAGGTGTCCAAACTTTCACTTTTTTTAGCCAAGCCCCCATCCACCAGAAACCACAGCTCCAGGGCCTCAACAGCCCCCCCCCCCACCCACACACACACCTTTTACCTTTTTTAGCCAAGCCCCCATCCACCAGAAACTACAGTTCCAGTGCCTCAACAACCCATCACACACACACCACACCACACCCCCCCCACACCCCCAGAGCCGGCACCCAGAAGGGGCTCAATGAGGAACTGAGGGTTTCCTTTTTTAAAGATAACCAGACCCCACCTCAGACATTTCAGCAGAATAAAACCAGTGTCAGCATTTTCTGGCTGCAGCCATGTGGCTTCATAGCCCACACCAGGGGTTCTCGCCCTTGGCTGCAGAGTGTAACCACGTGGGACACTGATGCCCAGGCCCACCTTAAAAGTTCTCATGTATGCGGAGCCTGGAATTTTTAAAGGTTTCTCAGGTAATTCTAATGCATAGCAATGTTGAGAACCACTGCGCCTGACCACAAAGAATGCCTGCTAAGTAAATTATGTCTCCTACATATTTAAACGGGTCGGTCGAAACCTAGAGTGTGACTAGAACCTGAGATCTAATCCCAACTCCAAGGATAACTAGCTGGGTAGCCCTAGATAGTCCTATCACCTTAGCAGGCTCAACTGCCTCATCTGTAAAATGGGGCAATAATACCTGCTCTGTTTACAGCGATGGCATTAACCCCTCTGAGAATCTAACTCTGGAGGTTCCTGACCACACAGATCTAATAGTTAGGACTAATTCAAGGTCTTGTACAGGTCTCTGTGTGTACAGGTCTAGCCACAAGGTTCTCACCTCCTCTCCCTGACAGCTGCCCCTGCCCTGGCCAGCCCTGACCATGCTGAGGCCTGGGCCTAGCCACTTGGCTAGGAACTGAGGGAAAAGGTGGATGTGGTATGAGGAAAAGGGCCCAGGTGTCCCTACAGACCTAACACACAGGTTCATCTTAGAGCTGCCACATGAGCTGTGATGTCAGGGGAAGGGGGAAGGGAGAGGGGTCTCAGGTTCCGCATCCATGACATGGAACTGACAGCTATTTCACAGGCTGTTGTGGGAACTGAACAAGATATAAATGAGAAGGCACCCAGCATGGTGCCTGCCACATGATAGAAAGCCAAAGCACAGGCTGAAATCACATTTTTTTAAAAAGTCCCAGTCCTACCCTCTGCCCAAAGCCACTAAAAGGGCTGCATGAGGCAAATAAGGAAGCGCTGACATGAAGACCCTCCAGCTCCTCCCCAGCTGGGGACCATCTGTCTTGACACCTTGACCCACAGAGGCCAGGTCAGACTGCTGGCTGCTACTCCCACTAACACTCAGCTGTACCTATAGGCCACACAGGGGAAGACAGCCCTGAGATAAACATTCCTGATCAAAAGGATCAGTGGTTAAAGCGTCGACCTGTGGACTGAAGGGTCCCAGGTTGGATTCCAGTCAAGGGCATGTACCTTGGTTGCAGGCTCAATTCCGGGCTCCGGGTTAGTGTGTGTGCAAGAGGCAACCAATCCATGTGTCTGTTTCTCTGTGTGTCTCTCCCCCTCACTTCCACTCTCTCTAAAAGTCAATGGGGAAAATATTCTCAGGTGAGGATTAACAACAACAAAAAAGGGTCAGTGTCTGATGCTAAAACAGCTTGCCAAGGCCTCCTCCCAACACATCACTCCCAGGGCTCCCCCCAGCATGGATGTACACCACTCTGCATGAAGCATGTGCACCCGAGCCACCTCAGCACCTGCCCTAGGAAAGAGGCCAGAAGAGTGGCCACCAGGTAAGGCAGTGGAAGCACTCTTCCTTCTGGCGGCACCAGGGCACAGCAGTGAGCAGGCCCCAGGTTCAGAAGGAGTACCTTCTTTGCACCGTTCACTCCACACATGGGTCAGCGCTCTGAGCAAGCACCTCACCAGGAGGAAAGAACACGCTGTGGGCCAGGTGCCCTGGAATCAGTGAGTCACTAATTAGGGATGGGCAAGGCCTCCCCAGTTAGAACCCAAGCAGAGATTTTGCTGGTGGTGCAGGAGGAGAGGGTGGGGAAAGGTCCAGTGCTGCAACCTCTTCCCCCACAAGCCATCCCCGTACAGCAGCCAGAGGCCTTTTTCTCCAGCTCTTCCTTGTTCAAATCCCTTCAAGTACCCACTGCATCCAGAAAAAATAAAAAATACAAACTCTTGCCCTAGCTGGTTTGGCTCAGCCTGTAGACTGAAAGGTCTCGGGTTCGATTCCAGTCAAGGGCACATGCCTGGGTTGTGCGCTCGACCGCCAGTAGGAGGCTTGCAGGAGGCAGCCAATCAGTGATTCTCTCTCACCATTGATGTTTCTATTTCTCTCTCCCTCTCCCCTTCTTCTCTGAAATCAATAAAAATATATTTTAAAAAAAAATACAAATTCCTGACCACAGCCTCTGAGGACACCAACCACCGCTCACTCTGCTCCACCCTCTCCGCCTCCTGACTGTTCCCTGCCCAGGCCAACCTCACCCCAAGGCCTCTGGGCCTGCCTGGAGCGCTCTGGCTAAAGGCCCCGGGGCTGATTTCCCACTCCATCCTCAGGAGGTGAAATCAGCACAGGTACTGGTTTACCTAGTACTGGCCCCACAGGCAGCCCCAGGGCAGCCCCAGGGCAGCCTGTCTCCCAGTGCCCAGGAGGACGCTGCTGCCCGAAAGCACTCCTCTGGGCCTCAGGGCCTTCAGCCTCCTGCCCTGTGCACCTCACTCAGGACCTCCCACCATGGAGCAGGGACACCCTCTGGAGTCTGGCACGGAACAGGACTTGTACACGAAGGCTGGGCACAGAAACAGGCCCTTTAAGGCCCGCTTCTCCCCACATATACACACACCAGAGGGAGTGGAGGATGGAAGCCTACTCTGGCCCCAGAGAAGCATCTACTTCCTCCCCCCCAAGGGAAAGGGACAAGCACAGTGACATGGAAATGTGGAAATCTGCTCCTCACCCTTCCACCTCAGGGAAGGGACAGCTGGGATCAGAGCCAGGAAACTGAAGAGTTAGAGACTATTGGTAACAATGTGCCCAGAGCCCCACCACACACACTCACACACTCAAATCAGAAGCTGGAGACTGAGCCAATGACAGCAGGCCCCACCCCGAGCTGCTCTTAAAGGGGCAAATCAAAGCAGCCAGGCCCTCTGGTTGTCCCAGATGCCAGTAGGAGTCAACTCTCTCCCACCTACAGGCCAACTGAGCAAAGGAACTAGAGAGGAAGAGGAGGGAAAACAGGAGAACACAGGCGCTCCACTCAGAATGATCCAGAGCAATCAGTGCCCCCCCACCACTGTGGCCACCCATCCCAGCACCCTACACTGTCTCCCTGCAGAGTCTGGGGAGGGAGCCCAGGTGTTGCCCTTTGAAAGCTGGAAGCCTGGAGTGGTTGTCTCTTTGGGGCAGGGGAGGGTCTGAGAGGAACTCAGTGATTGGGTTGGCTCCTCCCCTCCCTTCTCAGTCCAGCCTGGCTTACCTCCCAGGATAATACTTCCCTGGTTTACCTCCTAAGAGTCACCTAGGGCTAAAAAGACCCCCCACCCCCAATTCTAGCCAGGGCCCTACCTACCACATCCAAAGCACCAAAAGGGAAGAGATCTGTCCCTTCTACCCTACCCTGCCCTCCTAAAACATCACAGACTACTTGGAGGCTTAACCTGGTTTTCCTATCCCGCCCTGGGCCATTCAGCTCTTGTGGTCCACTCCCACCTGCAAGGATGGGGAAGCCTGATGTGAGGCTGCTGAGCACCCTGTGGTCAGGGAAACTCCCGCTAATCTCTCCTGCGAGCCCAGGGAGGGGCCGCCTCTGGCTCTCCAGCTATCAAGTAACAGGAGGGAGAGGGAAGTAGGACAAGTTCCAGCTGGGGTGGAGAGGATACTGGCCTTGGCCCCAGGGGAGGCCTGGTTCCGGAGCCAGCTCTAGCCTGAGAGGGAAGCTGCACAGAGGCAGAATGGGAGATGTGATCTAAGAAAGAAGGGAGGGGACATCAGGCGCACAACTTCATGCCCAAAGGGCAGAATACAGCCAGCCTGTGCCATCAGCCAGGCATCACTGGTATTGTGCAGTGGGCACTCCCTACAGAGCCTTTTCCCATCTACACTGAGCCTTGGGCTCAAGGCCAGGGCCCTCACACCCCTCCATGAAGAGAACTATCGTGTCAGCAGGCCTGAAAGGCCCTATGGACCATTGTCCAGTGCAGAGCTCCTGGCCCAGATTCTAGAATGGGCAGCTGGAGGCCCCGGAGGCCCTGACTCCATAAACTCCAACCAAATCAGCATTTTCCTTAAGACAATGAAGTAAAATGGCAGATTCTGAAAAAGGATCAGGGCCCTAAAAATATTAACAACTACTACTCTAAAGAAAAAGGGACCAAGAAGAGACACAAAGGCAGGTAGTCAGGAACAGATCTGAGCCAGACAAGGGTATAGTGATGGGCAGATAGGACAGATAGGATGGAGAGCAGGGACTAGGATGGGGTGAAATGGGAACGATGGGGACAGGACCTCCAATCCAGTCAGCACATAGCTACCCAGGGCCACCTCCAGGAAGCTGTCCTCGACGCGGATACCATACTATTGCACACAGAGCACAATGTAGTCCAGCACCAGGAGCAGCAGGCAGCACCTCCTCCCTCAGCCTGGCACTGACCTATTGCCACCCTCCACCCTCCACCTCCTGGTTCTCCTGGCTTGGAGACCGAGTGGACAGCCAGAGACAATGCGGACAGAATGAATTAGACAGACAAGCCAGCAGATAGTGACAGATGAAAGGATGGGGGACCAGAAAAGGATGCGGACAGGGACATCTCTATGGACTGCTCTTGGTCTGGGGCCCATGAACAGACATCAGGAGCCTGTGAACCCCACCATGGCCCATGCACATGTGTGGGGCTATGAATGTTCTAGAGAATCCCTGGTAAGATCAAAAAGCACAAAACCCTGGTTTATAGGTGCACAAGCTATGGCCCACAGGGAGAAAGCACACAGACCTCTAGAGTCCCCATAGGGAGTGAAAGCCCAAAGCAAATTCTAACACTCCCTCCACTGAAGCTGCCTAAACCCTTCTGTGACCCCAGAAGTGTCTCCAAACCCACTGGTGCTCAGAGGATGAGGCATCCAATGAATGTGTGCTGGGCAGCCTTACCTTGGTGCGCCCATTGATGACGTAGTTGCCCAGCCGCCCAGTGCAGTGCCGGATCACAGTGTCCACGTGGGCCATGAGGGCCCCGATGCTCCGGCAGCCTGGCTCGTGGCCTTCCACCCAGGCGATCTGGTCCCCACGGATGCTGCGTGGTGGGATAGCCCGCTGGCTCACCAGCTGCCCATCACGCAGGCGCCCGCCCCGCTTCAGGGCCTCTACCTCAGCCAACACTCGGCTACCCAGTGCCGCCCCCAGGAAGCTGTCCTTGACACAGATGCCATAGTACCGCAAGCAGGGCACGATATTGTCCTGAGCCAGGCGCTTTAGAATTTGCTATCTGCTTCACGTCACGCGGTCACTGGCCTCACCATGGTCCATGGCTATCGCCAGTGCTGCAGCCCAGGCACCCTCCCCCTCTGCCTCCTGGTTCTCCTGCCTGGCCCAGGGCCGCTTGCTGGGTGCGGGGGCATCCCCACCATCCTCTGCCCATTTCCGCTTGGGGGCCTCAGGCCGTGCGCCCTGAGCTGCTAGTCGCTGGCACCCCTTAGTGACCAGTGCCGCAGCACCCTCACTCTGCAGTGGCTGCAGCTCGCCACCACCCTGCCCACCAAAGCCCTCCAGCAGGGTGCTGGCTGAGGTGGAAGTGGCTGAGGCTCTGGGGATCCCACTGCCTGCTGAGGCCTCAGCAGGTGCTCCTGGACGGTGGTAGGAGGGTAGCAGGGGACATGGCAGGTAGCTCTCCACCCCCATCCTGGACCGGCCAGGCTCCAAAGGCTCTGACACAGAACCCGGCAACTGAGGGAGAGCCTGACTCAGGGATTGGGGCTGGCACGGGCTGTCCATGGCAGCAGCGTCTTCATCCCCCTGGCATGGAGGGCACGGCCTGGGCCCATGGTGCCACCCTCCTCCGCTGCCTCCTCCTCCTCCACTTGATGCAGCTGGGGGCCGGGGCGGCAGGGCTGGCCGGGCCTGGCGTGGGGCAGGGTGAGGCAGGGCAGGTGGCAGCAGCTCTTCTTGTGCCCTGGGGGTGCTCGCTGGTCCCCAAGTCCTCTGCTGTCCCTAGGGGCTTGGGAAGGGACCTGTCAGGGTTACTGGAGAAAGAGATAAAAGAAAAGAGATGTTTGAGGACCTAGACGAGGCAGGCTGGCTGGGGAAAGGGTGGAGGGGCAGTAGAAAGGCAGACAGACTTGACTGTTGAGACCAAAAAAATTGAGCCAACTAGGGGGTGAAGACCCCTGGAATTTGGGGGGGGGAGGGAGTCACTGACAGATAAGAATCAGGGAGGACAGGTGGAGGAGTAAAGCTGGGTCGATGACCCAAGACAGAGGGCTGCGCGGGGCCAGGGGAGAGAACCACCTCAGGTGAGACAGACGGACAGAAAAGAGGGAGGGGCCTGAGTAGAACAGGAGCGGCGAGGGAGTGGGGAATAGAGACGAACAGGGGGATCTGCCTGGGAGTTCCAGGCACACACAGAGGGAATGTGGGGGCCACAGGCAGAGGAAACTGGGGAGTCCAGAGACAAAGAAAGCAGAGGGGCGGGGAGGGGGGGGGACAGAGACAGAAAAGCCGGAGAAAAGCTGGGAGGGAGGGCCTAAGACAGCCGGACAGACCGGGTGGAAGGGTCGACCTTACGCCCACGAGAGGAAGCCTGCTGGGGGCTGACACACATCCAGACGGAAGGGAGGTCCTGAGACAGACTGACGGACGGAAGGGAGTCGCAGGAGGAGGGCTCCCCAGCGACAGGGAAGGGCGGATAAGGGTTCACGCACCCGGGGACCGGACTAGGGGAAACGAGCGCCCCCTACCAACCAACTCCAGTCGCTGCGAGCACGGCGGCCCCGTCGGGGCGCAGCTGGCGACGGAGGTCGGGCCTGAGCGCCGCTCGGACCCCTGCCCACTCCCCTCCCCCTCGGCCAGGCTCGCGCTCCCCGCGGCCACCTCAACCAGCGCCGCGGCAGGCACTCAACGTGCCCGTCGCGCGATCCCTCCCCCGCGCCCCACCCCCATTCCTCCTCCCCAGGGTCGCCGAGCTCCGCCACCACGGGCCGGAGCGCGCCCCCACGCCCTGCCCGGCTCGCGCCGGCGCCCCGACTCCCGCGCCCTCTCCGCCCGCTCCCTTCCCTCCCCGAGCTCTCCTCACCGAGCTTTTTCCTCCGACCCCGGCGCCGCCGTTTGTTCCAGCCGCCCTGCGCCGCACAGCTCGCCATACCCCGCCCCCACCGCCCCTGACGCTCCGCCCCCGCCTCTCCGGGTGGGTACGTGACCGCACCCGGGCCGAGGGGACGGTGCGCAGGCGCGAGCCGCGGGAGGCGGGGCATGGGCGTTCACAACAGCCACACTCTAAAAGGGGAGGGGGCTGGCCGACACGAGGCTCATTTGCATTCTACGCCCCGCCCCCTTTTCCGCGAGCGGAGGCTCGGATTTAGAAAGGGCTGAATCGGGGAAGTTTCTGCTGACATGCAAATGACATGGGAGAGATATGCAAATAATGCTATTTACATGGACAAGCCCATCTTCTCAGAGCCGAGAACGCTGCGGAAAGAGTAGCCGGGTCGGGATGTGCCATGCAAACATCGATGTCTTTTACATGGACAGCCCCACCTTCTCACAGCTCAAGAATAGGGATGAGATATTTAGAAATGTCGGCGCAGGTAGTTGGGAAATATATGTAAATGAATACGCCAGCAATAATTTACATAAGGCCTTTATATAACGGAGGAAAACAGTGCAGAATGTCCTTGAGGGGAGGGATCTCAGACTAGAAGGGATGATAACCCACTCCGCCCTGTCCCCTCGAGACAAGTGTTCGAGTCAGAATAAAGTAACCCAGGAAAGCCATGCAGAGATGTTTGCATGACAGCCTTGTCTTTTTCTTTTTTTAATATATTTTATTGATTTTTTACAGAGAGGAAGGGAGAGGGATAGAGAGTTAGAAACATCAATAAGAGAGAAACATCGATCAGCTGCCTCCTGCACACCACCTACTGGGGATGTGCCCGCAACCAAGGTAAATGCCCTTGACTGGAATCGAACCTGGGACCCTTCAGTCCTCAGGCCAACGCTCTATTCACTGAGCCAAACCGGTCAGGGCCAGCCTTGTCTTTTAAGAACATTATAGGCAACTGAGCCTGGGAGGATTGTGTTGGAGGTTGACACATCCAGACGGAAGGGAGGTCCACTTAAATGCCCCCACCCCTTGGCTCGGTGGAACAGAGACGCAGGCCTTCCCTGTGTGGGTTAAAGCAGACTTGAGGGTGGCTAAGCAGTTGGGAGTGTCCAGAGGGGACTTATCTGTCCCTTGGCAAGCTGGGGTGGCTTTGGACTATTTAGATGGAACCATTTTGTCTTATTCAGTATGCACGTGAGTCCAGGTTGCACAAAGCCCCACATACACACAGAAAGGGTTCATGGTCACATACAGGTATCAAAAGAGTCAAATTCACATCAAAACACACAAAGACTGCCGTGCATGGCTTAGTGGTTGAGCATAGACTTATGAACCAGGAAGTCACCGTTTGATCCCTGGTCAGGGCACATGTGCTGGTTGTGGGGTCCGTCCCCAGTGAGGGGCATGCAGGAGGTGGCCAATCAATGATTCTCTCATCATTGATGTTTCTTTCTCTCCCTCTCCCTTCCTCTCTGAAATCAATAAAAAATATATTTACACACACACACACACACACACAAAGACCTAAGAGGCACTCATGCAAGTTAGACACTGCCCAGGCTTTCAGGCATCAGGCATGTATAGGTATCACCCACAGGCCTAAATTCTTACTCATGTTGTTCGATGTCCCAAAGAGCCTCATGAATACAATCACTAAGGACACAGAATTGTCACAAACAACAGTGCCACACACACAAGCAGCACATATTCCGACAGATACCATCAATAATGTCACACAGGGACATCAGTGTTATATATGTGGGCCTCGCACATTGTCACAAAATGTGCACACAGTGACAGACTCCCTCGTTAACAGGCACCTACCTGAGTCATGGGGTCATGGTGTACCCCCACACCATGTCTGATCCAGAAACGTGGCCCCAAACACCATGATACTCATTCTTCCATTAGATACCTCTTCTGCCTCCCCTCCCTCCCTGCCATCCCAAAATGATGAAGGCCAAGACACAGGTATAAACAATGCTTTATGGGAGTGGAGAAGTAAGCCTTCAGGTAATAAATAACTCGTACTCGCAATGGCAGGGCCAGGGGAGCTGGGGCCAATGGCCCTGGTCACAGGCTTTGGGAACACTTTGAGAATGGTTAGGAGTTCGAGGGGGATAGGGGGTAGCCAAGACAGAGGAAGCAGCAGCAGGTATGGATTCCCCCCTCCCCCGTGGCTCAGTCTTGCCCCTCAGCCAGGCCCAACCAGGCCAGGGAAGGGGAACAGGTGTCAGGACAGCTTCTCTGGGGCCAGGTGAGGGACTTGGCCTCCTGGGCCCTAGGTCTGGACCCCAGTCAGAAGGACAGGGCTGGTCCTGGAGAACAGGTGAGCTGAAAGAAAAGTGTGAGGTGAACTGGAAGGATCCTGGCGCTGTCCAGCTGGTGTGTCTGTCTCATTTCTGGGTATCTTTGTGCCCTCCTATCAGTGTCTGTCTCTCCATACCTTTCTCTCTCTCTCTCTCTCTCTCTCTCCAGGAGTTTCTACATTATCTGACTTTCTATTTCTCATCTGCATGTAATTTGTGGCATTCTCTGTGAGAGTTTCTCCTTGTTTCCTCAGAGAGCTGTCTCCTTGAGTCTGTAAAAAGGTAGCTCAGTGTCTAAATTTAATGTCCCCACCTTTGTATCTCTATGTAACTTCTACAGTCCTGGATCATCCTGACGCCAGGTCTTATTCTAGGGCTTTCTAAACTGAGGATACACATTCAGTCAGTGGTTCTTGCTCTGTTACAGATATCAATGCCTGGGAGCTTCCAGGAATCCTGAAATCACTTCAAAATCTTTGGGGGGAGGCCCAGGCATCAGTAGCTTTTAAAGATCTCCAGGTGATTCCAATGTGCAGCACTGGATTAATGGGGTGGGAAATCAGCCTTGACCAATCTTTGACTGAAAAAGAATAAAATAGAGCCCAGCCAGTGTGGCTCAATGGTTGAGCATCAACCCATAAACCAAGAGGTCTCCATTTCGATTTCCGGTTTCAGGCTCAATCCCCAGGAGGGGGGATGCAAGAGGCAGCCGATCCATGTGTCTCTCTCATTGATGTTTCTATCTCTCTATCCCTCTCCCTTCTCTCTAAAATCAATAAAAACATGTTTTTTTTAAGAATAAAATGGAATACATAGAAAATATCGGAGTGCATCATATGTAATAACTAGAGGCCCGGGTGTTCAGGTGGGGTCCCTCGGCCTGGCCTGCGGGGATAGGGCCAAAACCAGCTCTCCAACATCCCCTGAGGGGTCCTGGATTGCGAGAGGGTGCAGGCCAGGTCAAGGGACCCCACCGGTGCACGATCGGGCCGGGTAGGGATCGAGGGAGGGCTCCAAGGTGTGTCCAGCCCGTCTTGCCCAGTCCAGATCTGCCAGACCCCAGCAGCAAGCAAACCTACCAGTCGGAGCATCTGCCCCCTGGTGGTCAGTGCACATCATTGCAATTGGTCGAAAGGTCAGACACTTAGCATATTAGGCTGTTATGATATAGGATATTGGTCCATGGAGATACAAAGCAGATAAGTGGGTGCCAGAGGCTGGAGAGAACGAGGAGTGACTGTTTAGTGGGTACGGAGTTTCCTTTTAAGGTAATGAAATGTTTTGGAACTAGACAGAGGTGGTAGTTGCACAATCTTGTGAAAGTACTGAATGACACACTTTCAGATGGCTAGATTTTTCTTATGTGAATATCACCACAATTTTTTAAAAAAAGAATATTGGTGCTAAGAAAACATGTGTTTCAGTTTTATGTGTGTGCCTGTATTAGATCAACATATATTTCCTCCAGCAGATTGCAGTCAACAAAGTGAAAAAACATCATCTTACTATATTTGATTCCCTGAGAGCAAACCCTGAAACAGACCCTGGGCTAAGCCCTGGGGGGAAGAGTATACTCATTCATTTCTGCATAGCCAGAGTCTTTCAAGGGATAAAAGGAAGAAAAAGAATAGGAGTTGGTGTAAGAAAGGAGGCGGGAGGACAGGCGCACCCAACCGAGGCACAGCAGATGGAAAGGCCTGGATGGAAAAAAGAGCACTACCCAAGGAACTTACCCAAGACTCCTCTCTCTCAAATTCCATATGCACTCATCAGGAAATCATTTTGGTTTTGCCTTCAAAGCCTATCCAGTATAACCCCGTTCCCCCACAGCCACTCTGGAACTGCCAATGGCTGGGAGGGGAAATGGGCATGAAGTGCAGAGGGAGCCCTGGGAAGACATTCACACCCCTAGAGAAGTCAGGATGGGACCAAATCCTGTAGGATCTTGCAAGCCTGTCAAGTCGTTTGGAACAAACAAGGCTTCCTGAAGGAGAGGGAGGAAGTTAGTATGGAAAAGAGGGGAAGGAACAGTGTTCCTGGCAGAAGAAGCAAAATGAGCAAAGACCCAGAAATATAGAAAAAACTTTAGTGTGGCTACAGTGGCCTGAGAGGTGGAAAGAGATGCAAGTTGAGGCAGGAAAGAGATGCAGAGTCAAACACCAGGCTGAGGAGCCTCAGCTGTGTCTCATGGACCCTGGGAGCCATGAATGGTTTTAAGCAAGAGAGACAGGATAGGATGTGCTTTAGAAAGACCCAATGGCTACATTAAGAGGGCACAAGACTGGAGACAGAAACCAGGGAGGATACAGAACCTATATACACCTAAATACCTTCTCTGCCCCCCTTCCTCCACCATCATCTCTCACCTTCACTTTGCAGTAGCCTGCTCACTGTTCTTCCAGGTCATGCCCTCCACACAGTCCCCCACTATATGCAGTAAGAGGGACCCTATGAACACCTGAATCAGATCCCATCCCTCCTCTGCTCAGAACCCTCCTATGGCTCCCACCCCATCCAGTGTATAAGCCAGAGTCCTCCCTGTGGCTCAGAAGGCCCTAATTGATCTGCTTCCCTCCACTTCTGACCTCATCTCCTGCTATACCATACCACCCCCTCAACATAAACACGCACACACACACTCCACTCCAGCCACATTAGCCTCCTTGGTCTTCTCTACTCATGCCAGGCATAGCACTGCCACCAGGCCTTTGCACTAGCTGTTTTCAGCCTAGAACACTCTTTCCCCAAATCCCCATATAACCTCCTCCCTTACCTTCTTTGAGTCTTTGCCCAAATATCACCTTCTCGCCCTGGTCGGTTTGCTCAGTAGTTAGAACATCAGCCCAAAGACCGAAAGGTCTCGGGTTTGATTCCCAGTCAAGGGCACATATCTGGGTTTCAAGTTCACTCCCCAGCTAGGTTGGGGCGTGTGAGGGAAGCACCCAATCAATGTCTTTCTCTCACATCAAGGTTTCTCTCTCTCTCTCTCACCCCCTCCTCCGTCCCCTCCACTCTCTCTAGAAAAATCAATGGAAAAAATATCCTTGGTTGAGGATTAAAAAAAAAAATGTCACCTTCTCAGTAGGGCCTTGACTTATCTTCCTGTTCAAAATTCCATTCCCCACTCCACACCCCTCCTTGCCCTGCATAGCTCTTATCTCCTTAATGACTATATAATTTACTTATGTATCTTATTTATTGTCTGTCTCCTCCATGAAGGCAGGGATTTTTTAAAATACATTTTTATTGATTTCAGAGATGAAAGAGAATCATCTGTCGGCTGTCTCCTGCACACCCCACACTGGGGATCTAGCCCACAACCTGGGCATGAGCCCTGACCGGGAATCGAACCATGACCTCCTGGTTCATAGGTCAATGCCCAACCACTAAGCCATGCTGGCTGGGCTGAAGGCAGGGATTTTGTGTTTCATGAGTGACTTGAACAGGGCCTGGCACATAGTAGATGCTCAATGAATATTTCATGAAATATGAATGGGAGGGTCAGAGATCCAGGCCAGACTTCCCCTGGCCAGGAAGATGGTTCCTTTAACTCGTGTTTTTGCATTTTTCTTTCGCTGTTTCTCTTGTCACCTTTCCTTTTCTGTGTCTCTGTCTCTGTTCCATACTCCCCCTTGCCAGGAGACCACCCCTGCAGTCCCTGAGTCCCCAATATCCCACCTGGCTCCGCAGGTCTCAGCAGCCACAGGGCTGCGGGGCCACGGCCTGGGCACTCCGAGGCTGCCGCAGCTGGCGAAGGGAAGCATCACCGTACTGAATGCCTGAGCCCATCCTCTCGGGGTCGAGCTCACCTGGGAGCGAGGAGAGAGGTCAGGATGGGTCCCTTGGAAACCTCTGGCCCCTACCTTCCACTCCCACTTCCACTCCGGTCAGTCTGGGCCTCACCTGAGTCGATCTTGTTCAGGATGGTGCGGGCACACTTCAGGAAAGCCTCCTCCACGTTCTCCCCTGTGAGAGCACTGGTTTCCAGGAACATTAGTTCTGGGGGCAGACGCTCAGGTCAGGACCTCAGTCAATCCCCATCCTCTACTCCAACCCTGACCTGCTGCCTCTCATTCTGTTCCTCAAACGTGCCACCTTTGCCCTCACTCCTGGCCTTCATACACACCATTCCCCTGTCATGAATGCCCTTCTCCCCAGGTACTCACCTAGCTCTTCCTTCAGAGCTCAGATCACACATCTCCCCGAGAGAGTCCTCCCTGACCTCCCAGGATGGGTCAGGTGCCTCCTCGGGCTCCCATGGGCCCCTGTGTCTCCCCCAGCCTGGTCCTGATCCCTCTGGGTTATCACTGTGTGGAAATGCACTTGCTTGCCCACCTACCCCACACTGGACTGTGAGCTAGGCCCATGCTGTCATCATCACCGTGTCCTTAGCACCATCTAGCAAGGCCCAGGTCCACTACAGTTCACCCATCAGTCATATGACAAGGCCTCAAAGTAAATTAAGAGCCAGGATTGAAACCCACATTTTTCTGACGGCAAAACCTCCTCTAAACCTGGAGGTTACAAACTGGAAGAACATGGACAGTCCCTAAGCCAGCAGACATTTGGCCAACACAATATTTTCAAATGGGTTTGTACTTGCATTCCTTTTAACAGGCTGTCAGTTTTGTACACTCCATTGATGCCAGTGCCTGCTAACATGGTCAACCACAACCTATCTCCTTTAATCACAAAACATGCCTGTCCCCTAGGGCCATTGGAGTTTGCAGTTTCTAGCTTACACCAATACCCTGTGCCCTCGCCATGGTGGTTGACACCTTCTTAGCAGCCAGCATTATCAAGTACCCACTCCATCCAGGGGGTGCTGAAGGCTTTCCATGAACCATGCCCCTTAACCATCCTGCGGAATGTGAGACAGAAACATTGTGAGCCCCACTTTCTAGACAAGGAAACTGAGGAACAGAGCAGTCACATGACATACATGTGGCAACACTCACATTTGAACTCATCCCTCTCTAAACCTCCACATGCTCCTGCTGGACACGGCCAGAGAGAGCCAGAAGGTCCACGGCCCCAGTGGACTGTTCCCGTCCCTGTTGCTCACCCTATGGCTCTCACCGTTCTCCTGGGCAAAGCGGGAGGCCTCCAGGAAAGTAACCTCACGCTCCAGGTCCAGGTCCTTCTTGTTGCCACAGAGGATGACCACGATGTTGGGGCTAGCCAGTGTGCGGGCGTCTGTCAGCCAAGCAGCCAGCGAGTTATAAGTCTCCCGGCTGTGGAGAAGAAGAAAAAAGGGAGGTAGGTGCAGGAGAGGGGCCACCCAGATCCTACCCCATCCATTTCGTACACCTACCTGGTGATGTCGTACACCAGCAGGGCTCCAGCTGCCCCTCGGTAATAACTCCGTGTCACAGACCTGGGGGGCCAGGGGGACCCAGTCACCTCAGAGGCTGGGGTCTGCCCCAAGACTGCCCCCCTCTGCAGAGAGAGACTGGTGGTTTGGAGGCCCCCTTCACTACTGGCCCTTCCCCCAAAACTTGGCATGATCTGGTCTCACTACAATGCCTCCCTGTCTCACAGTCTCTATCTCCCTCAACCTCTATATCACTTAGCTCTTTGTTTGCCTCTTAGTCTTTCTCTGTCTTTGACTCTCCTGTGTCCCTGTCTTTCTGTATTCCTTCATTGGTCTGTCTTTCTCTCTGTCTCTGTTGTGTGTGTGTGTGTGTGTGTGTGTGTGTGTGTGTGTGTGTTTAAATCTCTATTTCTGTCTCTGTCTCATTCTCACATTTTCTGTCATGTCCCTTTTGCCTAGTCCTGGCCAGATGCTATGCAACTACATCTGCTTATCCCTCTTCTGCTGTGTCTGGGGGAGGCCCCCTTCCCAGTGTGGCCAACTGTCTGCATCTCCCTGTGCCACCAGTCTGGGTCCTCTAGAACTCATGCAATCATTCCGCAGCATTTATTGAGCACTTACTGCAAACCCAGTTTGTGTCACACACCTGTCTTTCCTTCGCCCTCTCTGTCTCTGGCCTGGCGTCTGTGCACCTCACACAGTAAACTAACACACAATGATTAACTTAGCAGCTCTTCTTCTCTTGTTTCTCTTCTGTCTCTTCCTCAGACTCAGGGTTTCTATATGTCTATCACCTTTCTCCAGACATTTCCTGAAGACATACTGTGCACTGAGTAACTATTCATTACTCTCTCTGCTAGTCCTGTCCCCCTTTCCCTGTCTGTTCTCTGTCTCATCTGTTATCTTTCTCTTCTTCTCCGTCTCTCTCT